GAGATAGGATTCAACAGGGGGATAAAAAAAAAAGAGATCCCTTATCTGTGACAAAATCTATTTTAACAACAAAAAAAAATTTTCAAATTGTTCGAATGACAAAAACAATTATTCTTTTCTATTTAAATAAAAACCAAATAGAGAAAATAATAATAATTTTAAAAAATACATTAAATTATAAACTAATCAAATTAGCTGCAAATTGTAAATAAAAATTATTGTCTGCATAAAAATTAAAGTACTTCTATATCCAAGTATATAAAGTGATAATCAAAACTGTTATTTCAAGTCTTTTTTTATAGACAAAAATTTTCAGGTTGAGAATTAAAAAAAAATTGTTTACATTCATAATATAACAGACTGAGCAAATATTTTGTCAGTCACGTTATTTTTGATAATATTTTTGTATATATACGCGCGTATTTTAAATACAAGCATTTTTCTGCTTAATATGTAAATGAAAATAGTGCACGAACTGAATTTAAAAATTAATTTTAGTTTTACTTAATGCAATAGTATAATTATTAATAAATTGGAATAAATTTATTGTACCATTGCGCATATTTTGCGGGTAAAATAAGTCCAATACGTACAAAATATATTTATATGTATTTATATATATATATATATAGAAAGATCTTTATATATGCAAGTGTCATTAATCGTTATCTTAACGTCCACATAAGATGTATTGCTATTACTCATCGAGACCACGTAATCGTACTGACTGCATAATATGTTGATATGATAATTGAGGATATATTTTTCCCGCTCGAGCAACCACGAAAATTGCTACGAGACGTTCCCTTGAATTTGTGCAACAATATTAAATTACACACTTTACTATTAATTTAAATCAGAAATTTATAATATAGAAGATGAATTATGCTTGAAACAAAAAGAATAATTTTTTTAAAACTTTTAGAATATATGCTGAAAATATTTCTTTTTCGCAACAATAAAAAAAACTTATATACCCAAATAGCACGGAAACTTGCAGCAAGTTTGCAGTGCAAGGTTTGAAAGTTTGTAAGGTAAGTTTGCAGCAAACTTGTGGCTAATATTGAAATGTTCTCCCTTGGCAAGTTTGCAGCAAAAACTTTCTGCAAACATGCTAAGCAAAATTGTCGAAAAGTTTCAAGAACAATTTGTAGCAAAATTGCGCTGAAAATTTTTAGAAATTTTAAAATGCAAGTTTTAGTAAAATAAATATTTAATAGTTTTATGGAAAATTATTTTTGTCAATTTCTTTTGAATTTAAATAATTAAATCACAGAATAGAAAAGTATTGTTCAAAATTTTATAACTATTTTGTATTTAATTAAAAAATTTATAAATATTTTTACTTACCTTATCTCGATTTTTAATGTTTTTAAGCCACTAACATCGGGGCTAATAAATTGTACTCAATATTAAAAATGTTCCATAACAAATATTTTCAAATGTATAAAGTCATTGAGAATAAATTAAAAAAAATTTCTTTCAAACAATTGTTTCGTTATTTCTCCTTTTCTATTCTGTGATTTAATTATTTAAATTCAAAAGAAATTGACAAAATAATTTTCCATAAAACTATTAAATATTTATTTTACTAAAACTTGCATTTTAAAATTTCTAAAAATTTTCAGCGCAATTTTGCTAAAAATTGTTCTTGAATCTTTTCGACAATTATGCTTAGCATGTTTGCAGAAAGTTTTTGCTGCAAACTTGCCAAGGGAGGACATTTCAATATTTGCCACAAGTTTGCTGCAAACTTACCTTACAAACTTTCAAACCTTGCACTGCAAACTTGCTGCAAGTTTCCGTGCTATTTGGGTATATTACTTTGGAACAAGAAGTTTCTTTTAAAATTTACTACATCTTTGAAAAAAATTTTTATTGAAATATTATAATTTTTAGAATAATTGTTTTTGTTAATATTTAAAAATAAATCCTGCAATTTTATTCTTAATTCAAGAATATTTAAAATACAGCAACAATGAGAACAGGTATATAATAAAAGAAAGTCAAACGACTATCAGCAGAAAAAAAAAAAAAAATCTATTTCATCGAAATAATGAGTAAACTGTGAAAGAGACTCGCAATCCTATTGAACGTCCATCCGTAAAGGATAATCTTGATGGATTTTTTCGGTATAATTCCATTAGTATACTTATCTCTTGAATACTAATATAAATGAAGGGCAATATATTTTTGCGCATAAAAAGAGAAATCCATCATTGAAAACGCGGCATGCATGACCGCATCAAGTTTAGCATTCGACCTTTAACCATATTTTCTCGGATATGTGCGATGCAGCGATTGGAACACCCCTCGAAAGTTTCTATACATATATTATATATATATATATATATGTATGTCGACAGTATGCACCCTTAAGGCAAGAGATAACCACGCGTGCATAGGGGTGAATCGTTCTTTTCTTGCACAACCCAAAAACGGGACTTGATCATCGTAAATAAAATTCTAGAGAATAAGAGTTTGCCGCCATCTATTCTTTTTCCCTATACGAGCAATAACAACAACAACAACAACATAAACCGGTAAAACCGGATGCGTTCAAGCATCATCCCTTGACGCGCGCCTCTCAAGTTTTAGGGTGGCAGTTTCCAAAAAGTTTTCACTATAATGGGGAAATAACCCTCGATCATCATACATAGAAAAAAAAGTTTATTGAAAAATGAAAAAACGCGTGCGCCACATATCTATATGTTGTAATCCACATCGGATTAAAAGAGTTTAGCAGGAAAAAAAATAGTAACCTAAAAAGGTCAGGGGAACTATGAGAGGGGGACATTAGCGACCGTTGTTAAATTTCCTTTGTGTTCAATATGTGTGTGTGTGATGAAACGGAAGGTCCTCTCTTTTAGAAGCTTTACCGGAACTTTTCGTTACGGTATATGTATTATTGTCTACTTTCCGTTCTTCGCGATCGTGAGAAAAGCGCAATGTTCCTTTGTTCGCATTTTCATCTTACCCGAGACAAAAAAGGCGCTAACTCTTTTTTTTTTTTAAACCCCCCGTGTGTATTGTGACATGGTATAATAAACCGGAAAATAATCATTTTCATGATAAATATTTCTATATTAAAAAATATCGCGCAAATTAGTAAAAATAATTTTTATAATAAAAATTTTATGCAAAAAAAAAAAAAAAAACTTGTCCTTGTAGTTTAATACACTATGGGGCGGACTATAACAACTTGGGAAAACATTTGTACTGAATTCCCTTCTTTGATCGAGTTACGTTGATACGCAATATGAGCCCAATGGCACCATAAAAGGTGCCAACCTGACGACTGTCCATCTAGTGAACGAAGTGTGTTATTCGCATAAAAGTCCGCTGAATTTCAATGCATGATGCCTTTATACTTGAGCCATTCTTTTCGGTCATAAAAACCATACATTCCATACTCCCGTGTGCTTAAAACATACACACACATACACACAATTACTACACTCATCGTAAATCACCTCCTCTTGGCTTGTTCGTATATATATCGCCAGTTTCATTAAGCGCCAGAACCAACAGAACATGCACTTCCATCATGCTCTCTGCTCCTCTCTCTCTCTCTTCAATTTTTCTCATTCCCATTTTTACAATTCCTTTCACTCGACTATAGGGGTAGAGAGCAGAGGGGCAAAAAAAAAAAAAAATACAAAACAAAAATTATCGCAAAAAAATGAGAAATATTAATCGAAACTAATTTTTTCATTCTTTCGAATAACACACTTATTTTTATATAAATATAATTTTGTTAATAATAATAACAATAATAATTAATAATGAATTATCTATATTAATAAAATTAGACTTTTGTCTGTACATTGCTTAGAACTTAAAAATTCATGTATAATTCTTCGTTTTAAGTCATAAGGATTCTAAAAATAGCATTAAAAAAAATTCTGTCTGTCTGTCTGCACAATATTTTGTTCGCCAATCACGCATAAACGGCTTGACCGATTTAAGTGAAACTTGGCAGTCTTTTAGGTATTAGACTAACTTAAAATCTTAGCCATACCCCATTAAAAAATATTAACTTGAACGGAAGTTATGGCACTTTTTGTAAAAATCGAAATTTTAAAATTTTGTATTTTTTCGCTTATTTTTACTAGACTTTTTTTTAGAAGTTTTTTGAGGTTAATTAATCGCATTTTTACCTTAAAATTGAGAAAATAACTGATAGATTTAAAATTGTGAAGAAAAATTCCAAAAATCAAATTTTTTTAATTTAATTTCTGTTATATACCTTTTTTAGCTATGTTTTTGAGTCCAATTAATCAAATTTTAACTTTAGAATTAAAAAACATGACAAATATAAAGAAATGAAAAAATGTTTTTTTAGTAACAACCTTTTTATAATTATTGTTTTCGGGTTATAGATTTTTATTTTAATATTATAGTTTAAATAATATTAAAAGATTTTAAGTTGTAAAAAAAGTATAAGAAATTAAAATTTGAAAATAATTATTTAAATAAAATTTTATAATGCTGTTTCGATTTTGTCTCAACTGATTATTTGCTATAACTTCATTCCCACAATTGACTGTTTTTTTTTTAATCTGTTAGAGATTCAAAACATTTGAAATCATTAATTACGAAGTTGATAAAGAAAAATAAAAGGTTAGTATATTTTTAGTGTGTTTTTTAGATTTAAAATTTTAAACAATTTTAAAATTTAACAAATTTGTGAAATTATTAGTTCAAATTTTTAATAACAATCAACTATCTATACAAAAAATTATTTGCACGAAAATACTGTTGGGCGCACACCACTAGATTTCGCTCTTTTATTATATTATTATTATTTGTTTATTTATTTATTATAATACTTTGAATGGTTAATAATGGATCATTTTAATATTGTATACTAATAAAATATTCTGATATTCAGTAGCGAACATAAAAAGGAAATAGAAACGGTGGAAATTCGTAAATTTTTGCCTAAAAGACCTACTCTAGGGTTAGTGTACCGAAACGCAATTACTTTAAAATTATTATATATTTTCGAATAGAAGAAATCGAATCATGAACTACTTCAATATAGAAAAAGGGTTAGAAAGGACTCACCGATCGGCGAATCCAACGTTGGGGCGATATATATATATATATATATAGTTAAATCGCCACTTCTCGAGCGCTTCATGGACCACTCCCGAAGATCTCTGCTCTTGATTGCACTTCTGCGCAGATCGGGAGTTATACTATTCCGTAAGAAAAAATACGGTAGCATGCTGGGGCCGCTTTTTTTCGTCCACATCCTTCCTGTCCTTCAGGTTGTTCTTTATAGGTATTGACTGAAAAAGAAAAAAATTTTCTAAAACACAATTCGATGCTACATAAAAAAAATTTTATTTGATTCAAATAATCAGTTACTTGACTATTATCAAATAAATATATATTTTTTAAAATTATTAATTGATTCTAAAACAGTTTTAATTCAAATAAAAATTACTTAGTTAAAGTAAATATTTATTTGATAAAAGAAACTGATTATTTGAAACAAATAAATTTTTCTTTAATTTCAATTTTGTAAATTTTAATTAATTGAAAAAGAATACTTACAATTGCGAATTTCCGCAAAATAATGACAACGAATCCTCTCCTAACGAATTTTTTCCCTTCTCTGCCAACTGTCTGAAATATTTTTTTTTTTGAAATAATTATAATTGTTTTAAATATCTATTAATAATTTAATCGCATTGTCTTAAATTATAGAAAAAGGAGCGGCTCAGCAACAAACATTTCATCTTCATCAATAAACCTATATGTCTATATTACAAAAATTGAAAAACTTTTTAATAAACATAAATGAAAAATATAATTTATGTATTTTCTAAATTATATTTGAACTTTTATAAAAATCGAAATCACCAACTTTTCCATATTTTCAAATAAGTATATTTCGAAGGCGCGATATTTCAGTGAAGTTAACATAAAAAGATTAAATTAACTTAATGCACAAATATTATTTGATTGAACGAGAAGAATAGTCGCCTCCTCGCCCCTCTGCTCTGTTGACGCATTACTTCTATATTTCTAAAGGGGTAAAATTTAATTAAATTTTCACGACTCATTCAAATCGAAATCCATGACAAAAATATTGTCGAGACTCGATTTTCATATATATGTATATAATATTGACAGTCACCATGTAATGATACTGAAAGATAATGAGAATCCCATTAAAAGCAATCATGGAAAAAATATTACAGAAAAATTTATTAAATTATTTTCCCTTTTTCAAAAAATAAATGGAAATAAAAAAATTATCAGAGAGTACAAAAAAAATGTTAAATTTAACTATAATATAAATTTTTGAAAAAACAAATTTCAACTCACCAGGTGATGTATATATATATAAATGTCGCGCCAGTATATGTTCTCGATGAAGATCCCAAAGCTCATATACAAAGCGTTTCGTGAGGCTGTAATTTCGTCCCCGGGTATTCCCTGTGGTCCAGATTACGAGGGGAACAACGTATATAGGGTTTTGCCCCGTGTCACTCAAACTGAAATACAATTTTAAGTCTCAATTGTAGAGTCGCGAAATACCTTATTTCTCGATCGATGAAATCCTAGTGGGAATACATTTAAATGCAAAGGCCGTGTTTATTTTACAGCTTAACTTCCAATGAAGTTCAGCGCATAGAAAATAAGGGGATTTTCTAACGTATAAACAAATGTTTCATTAAATTAAAATAATAATTTTATTTGATTTCAATAATCAGTTACTTAACTATTATCAAATAAATATTTATTTGAACCAAATAATTTTTGAAAACCAAATCATTGAATTAAATAAACTGTATTTGAATCAATAATTTTTCTATTTGAAACAAATACAATTTACACGGAAAAAAATGTATTTTATACACTGAAAAAAGTATTTGGTATTGACAACCAAACGTTTGGTTGGTATTTAAGCAACCAAAATTTTTTTTGTTGAATCAACAAAATTTTGGTTGTCCCAATCAAACTTTAGTTCAACAAAAATCCTTTTTTTCTAATTTTGGTTGTGTCAAACAAATTTTGGTTGAAACAATTAAAATTTTGTTGATTCAACAAAAAAATTTTGGTTGCTTAAATACCAACCAAACGTTTGGTTGTCAATACGAAACTCTTTTTTCAGTGTAACAAAATTAGTATAAGTATTTTTTTATTTAGTCATAACTTCTTTATTAATATAATGAAAATACAAAAAAATGTTTTATGCTTTTCAAAAAATGTTGAAATGCTATAAAAAAATGTACATTAACAAATTTTTAATTATTTAAAAAAAAAAAAAATTTTAACCCCTTTTCAAGCAATTTTAAAATATTTTTTATATCCTTCCCTTAAGGAGAGGTAAAAAAACTGCATTTAAATATCACATGTGGTAAATATTAAATTCACTGCATGCATTATCAAAAGCAGTGAAAAGGGTTGTACCTCACTATAAAGGGCGCAGGCAGGGGCCCTTTATTTCCAAATTTATAAATTAAATTTTGAATTTTTTAAAATAAAAGTTGAATATTTTTTAATAATATTACCTGTTAATATTATTAAATTATTATTTTCAATAATAAAGAAGTTACGACTTTTATAACTTTTTATTTGTTTTAAAAAAAAAAAAAAAAAAAAAAAAAAAAAGTCTGACACTTTTATGTTAATCTCAAAATAAAATGTATCATATATAAATTTAGAATGGGGATTAAAATAATATATAATACAGAACAAATAAAATGCAACATTGATCTTAATAAATCTTAACTCTCGCAGTCATAAAATATATTCCGGTTAAAGTCTATTCATTGAAAAAAAAAACATAAATGTATCGCTAAACCAATACCACAAGGGCGTGACTATTAAATATATATATACGTGTGGGTCTGAACAAAACTGATACATCCTTTTAAATTCAGTCACGCAATTTGTACGTAGGACACTTTTTTTAAACCTGTTTTCATGACTTGTATATATATATATATATTCATACCAAGTGTTTGCCGCGTGTATAAATTACTTTAAAATTATGATAATAAAGTGCAAATCATGTATATACAAAGTTGCAACGGGAAAAATTATCATTTTAAATTAAATATTCGTATTTAATCCACTTAAATATAAAAAATATATAAAAAAAAATTATTAATAGAAAATAAATTACTATTTAATACACTAAAAAAAATTTATTTCATTCAAATAATCGATTACTTGATTATTAACAAATAAATATTTATTTGTATTAAATAATTATTATTTGAGATGGTATTTCACAGAAAATTAAAAGGCATTAAAATAAGCTGCAACGCTTATTATTTTAATACCTTATAATTTTCTGTGTTGTTTCAAATATACAGAAATTATTGGTTCAAATCAAAATTTATTTAATTCAAATAAAAATTATTTGGTTCAAGTAAATATTTATCTGATAACTAGCAAAATTAAACGCGCGTAAGCGCGCCAAATTGAGTATTTAGTTATTTGTTATAAAGAAATTAAAGATTAATATTATCAATAATAATTTAATTTATTAGAATATTATTACATATTAAATGATAATAATGAAAAAATGATATGTTTACAGGCCTCGGATTATACGACTTTTTCCTACTTTTTTCAAAAATACGACTTTTATGGACTTATTTTAATAAAATGCGACATTTTTTTTACATTTGAAAAAAATGTAAATAAAATACATTTTTTAGTATAAAATATAGATCTTCTTCAGATCTTCTTCAATTCAATTATTTAACAACTTTTGAACTAAAATGATTCTTCACTAAATTAATTATTTTTAATAATTTTAATGAAATACATCACAAATTCAATTATATCAAAATTATTTTTCAATTAAAATTTTTATGAAATATTATAAAAATTGTTTATAATTTAAAAAAAAATATCACAATAAAATTGAATTATTTTTTAAAAATTTCAATTCAAAATAAACTAAAATTCAATTATTACCCGAAATTTTAATTCAAAATCAATTAAAAATCCAATAATTATCCACAATTTTCAATTTAAAATTTAATTATTTACCAAGTTTTCAATTTAAAATGAAATAAAATTCAATTATTTTCTAAAATTTCTATTCAAAATTAATTATCCAAATTTTCAATCAAAAATGAACTTAAATTAAATTATTATCCAAAATTTCAATTAAAATTCAATTATTTCCCAAAATTTTCAATTCAAAATGAACTGAAATTCAATTATTTTTCAAATTTAAAATCAAATAAAATTTCATTATTCTCAAAAATTTGAATTCAAAATTAATTGATTTTTCAATAATTTGAATTTAAAAGCATCTAAAATTTAATTATTTCTAAAACTTTTCCATCGAAATTTTTTTTTTGGAAATTTAATAATTTCAATTATAACTCTAAGGAAATTCAATTACTTTTAACTATTTTAATAATATTCTTTGAAAATTCAACTATCTGAAACCATTTTTCAAATTAAAAATGATTTTCAAATTATTGTATTTTGTCCGCATTTCCTAATAAATTTTTAGTGAAATCATCTAAAATTTTAATTAAAAATTACTTAAAGGTTCAATTAATTTCAAAAATCTCAATTTTAAATCTTTGAAAATTCAATTAAATTTAAAAAATGTTTTCCAAAAATTGTTTGATAAATTATTTTTAGTTCTGTAAAATTTAATAATTGTTTGAAAATTAACAATATCTTTTGAAATTTAATTATTTCTAAAAATTTCAACTTTAACCTTTCGAAAAGGATTATTATTAAACAAAAAAATTTTTATTTAAAAATCTTTAAAATATTTTTGTTAAAATAAAAAACAAATCCACTTTTTTTGGAATATAAATCGACTAAAACGACTTTTTTGTGTCTTTAAGTTGATTCGAGGCCTGTGTTTTTATAATTAATATTTAATAGGTATTCGTTGGCCCCTGGTACCTTAAAAATTAATTTTTAAAAATTAATTTTTTTCAAATTACTATCTTGTACGAAATTTCCTGGCGCATCTTTTTTCTCATCATACATTTTTTGTATTTGTATACAATTTTTGAATGAATATACAAGTTTAAAAACAATTTCGTTGGTAAACGTTGTGTATACTTCAGCTTCGTGAATTGAATTTTCGAATTTTGAATTTTAAAGAAACTGGGTCAAAATTTCTCAAACGGATCACCTAAAATTCAGAATTTTTTTTTTTAGTCTCATTTTTTTTCTCAATGGTTTCTTACACAAAATTGTGTGGGGAATTCAAAAAAAAAAAATTTTAATTTTCTGTAGGACGTCAAGAACACTATTTTTTAATAACATTTTATAAATAAATAATATAAAAATCTATTAAATATGAAATTTTTTCAAAATAAAAATTATATTTAGAAACTACATTTTAAGACGAGAAAAACCCTTTTTTTTAATTGGTGAACAGGAACTCGAGAAAAAAATTTTTTAAAATAAAACTGCAAAAAATTTCAATTGTTTATAACTTAAACAAAAAATTTTTTTTTGACCTAAAAATTTCAGGGACTTATTTTTACCATGTAAGGTGTCAAAAGAAATGATTTTTGATTAAAAAAAAAATTTCTGAATTTTAGGTGATCCGTTTGAGAAATTCTGACCCAACTTATTCCGAAATTTGAAAACACAATTATACAACTTTGGCAAAAATGAGAAAAAGAATTGTCAAAATTTGACACGTGATAAGATTACTATTCAAAAAAAAACACGTGAAATCAGAAAAGGCCAACTTCAAGTTAGGACAGAAGGACAGACCAAGCATTTTATTATTATATAATAATATTCAAGTAATCAAGTATTTGAATAAAAAAAAAAAAAATTCAATGTATAGTAATTCATTTTTTATTAATAAATTCTTTTATATATATAATAAATGCGAATATTTAATTTAAAATGATAATGTTTGTTGTTTTTTTGTTTATAAATTATCGAGTCGATGTTTTAAATTCCCTGTATATTTTTATAATCGTAACTGGAAAAGAATAATATAACTAAAATACATAATCGAATATTTTTTTAGAAATTTTTTTTCTTTTTGAATTATGATGTAAGAAAAACATTGTAGTTTAGGAAACAAAAGCAGTTAAAGATGCACAAAGGGTAGTAAATCCAAAAAAGAGATAGCGATAAGCCTCTACTAAGGAGTGGAATGAGAAGACCGCAAGGGCGGAGTATCTAGAAGAAGAAAATCCTAAAAAGAGAAAGAGAGAGAGAGAAAGCGCGTCTTTTTTTATTGAAGAAAAAGACAGAGACAGAATATAAAAGAGGATAAAATCCTTTGCGGAGAATCGAGGGGTTGCAACACACGGCTTGCCAAAGAGGAATGGCGCCGGCGTTACAACGGAGGGGTTGAACGCGATTATAGACTCAGAGAAAGGGTGGGGATTGAAATTGCAAGGGGTGAAAACTAGAAGAGCGAGCGAGAGAGAGAGAAAGAGAGAGAGTGGATGGTTCTCTGTGCTAGGTGGGTGACGCTGACGTCACGTGCAAGGTGCACCACGCTGCAGAAATGCAAGGGGATGAAACGAAC